CTTGTAACTGAGCTAGATTGGGTTATCGCAGGCGACGCTAACATTCTGTGGCAATCCCAAATGAGGGGTAAGCCGAGATAGACTGAGAAACCCCGGGCCCATATTCATGAAACTGTTCTCATGCTCAAGCACGATTTCTGTGCTCAAGCCTTGTAACCTGATTTAATCATGTAACTTGGTCGAAAAGTCATCAGCTTAGAGTCTTTCAAAACTTCTTGCATATCATTCACAGAATATGATGTTTTTATCAATTAATCGCTGGCATAAAAAAATGGGCTTAAGCACAGAATCTAGGTTTGAACATGAAAAAAGGTTTCATGAATACTTGCCCCGATCTCGCCGAAATACAGATAATTGATTTTGTTCTTGCATCTTTTTTTTAATTTTTTTTTTTATAAAAGGATGAATGTTTATAAGGCCCTTTTTGGGCCCCGATATATTCGGATTTTCACCTCCTTAATTTGTTCAAAAATGGCCTATTGTATTACATGTGCAAAACTAAGGTAAAAGTTTAACCGAAAGCGGGGTTTTGGGGGTACGAAAAGGGGTAGGGTAAATCACAAATATAATTTGCTGTTTTTAAAGCATGCTCAAAATCCCAAATCGTACCATTTCTGTTTTTCAAAACACGTGTAAATTGAACAGTCATATTTAAAAGAATGAAAATTGATAGAAATTAAATCGTCAATTAAAGATTGTTTATTTAAAACGGAGGATTAAAACCGAGGGTTGTTTTAGGTTATTTTTCAAATGAAAAGTATTTTGTTTTCTCTATATTTTCCTTTCTAATTTATATTTTGGGTTTTGTGTTTATAGCTTTACTCATTTCAGTACACTTACTTAAAATGCATATTCACTACACAGTCCGGGGGCTCAACTAAATATGGCCTCTTCACTACTAAAGCTACGTTTGAATGCTTCCGCGCAAACTACTGCGTCCTAACAAAGAAGAAACCATATTTCACAGTGTAGGTTATATATTATCTACGCTATCAAGCATCCAGCAACATCAAAACAATACTTGTAATGACAAAACTTATTTCAAAATTGTAACGAATGCTTCACTTGTTGAGATGAAGTGCTCGCTCTGTAAAAAGTCCGCAAAATACCGCGGAAAGGTACCAGACCGATTTGACGAGATATAGAAAATGAGCATGTGGTATCACATGGGATATCCCCTATCTGAGATGCGAGAAAATCTGATTAGTTTATCGGTTCGCTATAGTGGTTCTGTACAAGTGTTAGCCAAGATGGTTCTGAAAAGATGTTATGTTTGGTGTATCAGAATAAAAATTTATGGGACGTTCTAATAACAATGATGTAATGACATCAGTATGATTTCATGTCTATCAAAAACTTGTATCAGTTTACTTGTAATACAACTACGGGCTTCCGTATACTTGAATCAGTTTACTAGAAACTCAACTACGGGCTTCCATACACTTGAATCAGTTTACTTGTTGTACACCAGTTAACTCGATATACTACTACGGGCTTCCTTATATTAGCAACATACGATTGATTTACATGAATATACATGTGTATAATGAAGTATTTGGCTGAAGTAGAGTATGTGTCGTTATACTACCAGCCGATCCTACTAAAGTCAGTATCACTTTGACGGCTGAACATTCACTAACACAACCGAATGTCTGACTGTATAGTTTACATTCGCACAAACATGCCGAGGACTTTTAAATTTTGTCTGATTTGATTCCCACTGTGTTTAATGTGTTGTTTTGTATCCTTGTCATTTACACGGCTAAGTCCTCAGCATTGACGCTAAAGATGAAGGCCCTGAACGAAGTCAGTGTGGTTTAAAACGGAGGTTACAAAGCAAGCAGGCGGAAGTTGAGATTTTGAGAAAAACAAAAATGTCGATTTTGTCAAATGAAGATGTATGCCAGGAAGTCTTATAATTTTATATGATGAAAAGACAGTGCCCAAAATACAATGTAACAAGTAGCGCAGAGGCTGAAACGAAATAAACAGCGAATTTCATAAAAAATATACATGTTTATTGAATAGGAGAGTAATCACCGTAACACTCATAATAATCACATCAATAATTTGTTGACAGTTTAAATGTAACTGGGAAAGAAAAACGGTGTTTGAACTTTAACTAAAGAAGGATAATACAATGTCAAAGATTTCGAGAAGCTAACGAACTCAATCAACCACCTAGGAACAGGAATAAATAACTGATAAACAGATGAAACATCGACCTGAGATATAATACACAATGTTGATAATGATGATAAAGAATGCTAGGAAAAGCGAAGACTCATACCCACAGAAACCTCCAGCGTAGCTGTACTGTAAAAACCCCAAGAGATGAAGCTGACAGCTTCAACCTGTCCACGGTTCTTTGACGATCCGCTAGTGTGTGCTAAGATCAGAACTACTTTATTTGTCATTTTTCGATCATTAATGTTAATTGAAATAGATGGAGTTGATACTTTCAGTATCCGTGAAACACGCCTTCCATGCTAAGACGCGACCGTGTAACTTACACAATAAATATATCGTAAAACGGAAAAAGCGATTTCAACAATACAAGGGAGCTATAATCTTTCTTGCTTGCTGCTAATTTTCTGTTTAATTTCTTCAGACACGGATGTTATTACATTCCGATAGGATATCATTATAGCAATTGACGTTATCACAGCATCTGCAGCAATACTGATTTACGTAGAGAATATGGTCAGAGTTTCAACTATAAATCTCGATGATTATTTCACGTATCGAACCTTTATCTACCATTCCGATATTGTCTGTTAGTATTAGTTATCAGAAAATGCTGAGCCGAAGGCGTGTCTTTATGTACTAAACAGTCGGAAGTCGGGGATATACGATAGCACATGACTTACATTGCTAAACAATTACGACACTCCCGGTGGGGTGTCCTGCTGGGTGTCTTAGGCAGTATCCTGCAGTGAGGTATTACTATAGAATCGACATCAGTTCCGCGCTATCACAAGGAGAGAAACACGAACATATCACAGACTCCCAAAACACACATGCATACACTACACGCATGCATCTTGCACACAGGGGAGGCCGCCCTTAAATGACCATAGCTGTTGATAGGACGTTAAACAATACTTAACCGAACCAAACCAAACGAGACTCCCATGCATCCATCACATGATACTGTCTGTAAATCAATAGTTAAACTACCCCGTTATATTTGGACTAGAATAACATAATTTGCATATGGGCGCTTCTATCTAAACAAAGTACAAGATAAAACAGGTAAATATAATTCCAACCGGTTGACGGTAGGAATTAGGATGTAATTATTTTCTCTTTGGTAGGAGAAACGCCAATAGGTGGCGCTATTGGTGGTATTTGCACGTGCAGCTGGTCTGGGTTTTACCTAAACGTGTCATTCAGGCGACACAGGTAACAAAAGCACACGTGTATGTTTTTATTTTTAAATGGGGTTATTTTATTGAGAATAATAGGTTAGGAGTTATGTTTGTGTGTGAGATGTACATTATTGTGTAATTGTGTTTATTAATCATGATGATTGAAAATAAACATCAGTCAGTGCCTATGTCGCTGGGAAACATCGGTCAGTGCCTATGTCGCTGGAAAATACAGTTTTTGTATTCGTGTTGTTTATCCTATTGGATACTATGGAGAAGAAAACACAACGTACCGTGACTAGAACTCGCGCAAGAAAACCCTGAGCAGGAACTGACAATTTATTTTGTATGAATTAATTACTGAATTGGACGGGTTATTGGCAATTGTCTAAGGGTATGTCAGGAACTATGAAGGATAATTATTTCAAAGAGTCGTTGACTTACCGCCATCAGACGAGGTTGGCATGGTCTGCAGTCACGTGATGTACTAAGTCTATTATGTCCTTTTCCCTCGGGAACAGTTATTTTATAGAGTTGTCTGGGCATGAATATTGGCCGAGCTGTACTTAAGGCCATTTATTGTGAATGATTGTATTATTATGTTACTAACACCATATATATTACAAAGTCGCTTAATACTCATTCGTATACGGCGTGACACATTATAACCCTCTCACATATAAGTTATTTCAACTTATATTAATCACTTATGTTGGCCAGGGTGTTACCGCGCGGGGGTCGTAATGTGGGAGGGAATCGGAGGTACAGGAGAAAACCCACGTGGTCGAGCAGTTGACCCCATACCTGTTCACGTCCGAGTGGGAAATCGAACTCCGCCTTGTTGAAAGTCAAGTGCGCTATCCACTGCGCCACCCGACCACCCTAAAACCTTAACCTCACAAACCCTCCAGCGTTAACCTCCACACAACTCTCTACGTATCATACACGGTCCTCGTCTGATAACACTCGTCGCAGTGTAAACTTATGTTAATTCTGCTGTACAGGTACTCTGACACAATTTGTTTATTTCTACATGTAGTTCTAATAAAAACAAACATGATAGAAACAAAAAATAAATAAACAGCGGTATATTGTTCTGTCTAAAGCGTTTATGGTGCGATGATGTCCTTGTTTACGCGGATTAGTCGATTATGGTGGAGTACCAATCATAAATCTTTAGCGTTGACTACCACCCTGCTGTGTTTTATATTCACAATTACACTGATACTATTGATGATGGACAAGTGAACTGTCGCTGTAATAAACTCACTATTGTAGTATAGTATATGTGTAGCTGTGTAGAACGTGAAGTTTTATTAAACTTTATTTTTAGAAATTCGTCTTTCTCGGTGACAGTTTAATGTGAAATATACTGCAGTGTATGTATAGATATCGTTTATCGTTGCCCGTGACAGCATCTGATTTGTAGAAAAGCTTAGTGAGGAAGCATGGAACAACTTCTGACATTTCAACGAGTGGAAAATAGATGTGAGCTGGATAACTTGTGACGATCTCTGTACGTTTGCCTTTCGCCTCTCGAGATATGTAATGGGTAATTGGCAATAACTAGGCCCGCTCCACTGGATCGATGGCGAAGCGAACGCGCCTATGGTAGGAGCTTGAAATTGGTCGCTCATACGAACGCACTTTTGCCCCGAATATGATACGATCTCCGTGACGGATGGTTTCAGAGATAAGTCGAACGCGCCCCTATCGACTTGGACAAGAAATGGCTTTTCCTTTTTTGTATGAGGAAACTGCATATACAAAATAGCCCCTCCTACATTTTGACGACATTGATCAACTTCTATATCGCAAAGTGCATAAACTACTTGGACGCTTTTAAAGGATGTGAAAAAAAGGATTTTATCTTCAAGATTTGAAAAGCGTTTTCAACGGAAACTGGCAATGTTGCACCGGGATATTGGCTATAAAAGAAATAATTTGTCAGAATCAATCTATTTTCGGCGGACAGATGACTGAAGGGATGTTATGATTTCCCCTGTGTATGTTGAAATGGATCTAGTTTTTGAAAGAATCTGATGAAACAAATCAAATAGATATCGGATATTATTTTCAAAATTTAATTTTTGAGCAAAAGATTTACGTGCATGTCAAGTTGATTCGGATCAAAAACGATTGACGGATTCAGCACACAGGAAATTCAAACAGTGTGTCGAAATGACAACTTAGAGAAGTTCATTACAAAACTACTACGGCAAAAACAAATTAAAATAGATTTTTATCAGTTATGTATGTATACATATATATGTATATTATTTCACAGTAACACGACAGCGTATCTTTGTTTGTCAGATGTTGTTTGTTTTACGCCGGAGGTTGTTCGTTATCTAGACCTTTATTCTATGACTATAGCCGAGTGCTGAAGTGTTTTCCTGTCCTCAGATGTGAAAGACACCCTGGAAGTATCTGCCAGAATCATTGTGTCCTGAAAAGTCGGTATTTTACTGTTGTAAATAACCCAGGACTTTACAGAAACTTACAGCCGGAATTAACATTGCCGGGGAACACGTAAGGAAGATAACCATTGTTTTATTCAATTGAACTGAGTATCCCCTATGGATTTGGTCTGGATAATTCTAAACGGGGCTTGTTTAAAGTATTCCTGGTAGTGTCTGTCCGGAATAATTCTAGCTGACTCTATCCGGAGTATCACTGATAGTCGCTGTCCGGAATATTTCTAGCTGACTATATCCGGAGTATCATTGTTATATTCTGTCCGGAATATTTCTAATTGATTTTGTACGGAATATTTCTAATAATTGACAATGTCCGGAATAGTTCTGAAAGACTCTGTCCGGAGTAAATCTAGTTCAATCTGTTGGGAATATCTCTGATCGACACTTGTTCTCCAGACATTCCCAATTTGATGAAAAGAAAAGCTACCTTACTAGAAGAAGGCTTGGTGTCTATAGATTTCACCTGACCTTTGTAGATGTCTACAAGCTCGAGTACGATTTGTCCTATCCGTAGCTGACCTTGCCGGAACTATAGGCAGTTATAGTACAGTGTCGCCATAGAAGAATTGACCTTATTTGGAAAGGTCTGGATTGTTTCTCGTCCATTCTGCTGTTGCGATGGTTACTTACATAACGGCTTTGATTTATTAGGCGGGTCGCTGTGCAAGCTTGACTCCAAGACCAGCTGTGAAATTTAGCTGTCTCGACAACGTCAGTAACTCCGAATCTACTACGGTAAGTGATTTCATTATACATAATTTGGCCTTGTTTACATGGTAAATAGCACACACACGTATTTTGGACAATGGACACGTGTGATGTTCACATGTTTCGGTAGTACTTGTTGAACACTCTATGGATGAGCGGGCGGGAGTCTTATTCACTTGGGTTACAGTGACCATATACATACATGTTATGTTCAGTTTTATTATAAATCTCCGTATTCCTTAAAGGGATAACAGTTTGGTACTGTGTTTGATCATGGTCCCTATTTATGTCGGGAAGAGAGATCAATGTCCAATACATTGGCCTATCAGGGTTAGTTGTCCGGTGAGATAGAGAAAAACAACGCGCTGTTTTTATTTGTTTCATTATACAATTAATGTAGTTCGTATATCTTTGGAATAAGGATGTAAGTGTCGGTTAAATTGTTTAAGTATGGACCGTACTTCGTTTGGGATAGAGAGATACACGCCGTGTACCTTTTTAAATTACATTTCATAGTCTGTCTTCTTTTGAAATAGAGAGATTAATATAGGGATTGTGTCATGATTGTCCGCATTCTTATAAATATAGAGAACTGTCAAATATATTCCTTCGTCACGGGTATACTGTAAATGCAAGGGCCTTTCCCATAATAATAATTTGATAGTTATATATAATGTAGGATACTGCTACATTAGTGAGAACCGATTTTTTCCTGTAACACACATTTGAATTAAACTAAATTGAAACGTTCCCATTTGTTTTTCTCTGGCGTATTTTGTCTAAACATTATACTTGACTAGAGAGTCGAATGACTGTTATTGTTGCCCTTTTCGGCGTAGTACCGTAGTTTGGAATATTTTGGATGTGATTATATTTTGGTTTATTTTGCGCCTGGCGTGAATTAGCCAAGATTAAACATCCCAAAGTTTCCTGATGCCAAAACTGTGTCGTCGCAACATCCAGTATCGGCAGACCGTCATCATCTTATTCATTAGGCATCAATAACTAACTTCCGTTGGCTTTATTTTACATGTAAGCGAAATTTGGAATCGCATTTTTTGGGGGGCAGGAATAATCACTTCAAAACCAACCCGTCAATAAATGTACATTTTGATCTGAAGGTGTCATAACATTTCATTGTTTTCATATCCGTTTTTGTATTAGTAATTAGTAAGTTCAATGGTAAAACGTTAACTTTCCACGAGCTTGGTTTATATCTTATTTAAATTATAACTCCCCAGTATCACATTATGGTTAACTTTATTCAGGAAGTATTCGAGTTTATTTTCTCCCTTGATCATAGTTAGGGTATATACTACATTAAGATTGTACAGATGTATCTAACAAGTATCACGTTGGATATATATCTATATTCAGGAAGTACTGGAAATTTGTTCACTGTATTACATTTTTAGTGCATTTTGGTTTTATATTGAGGGGACAGGCACTAACCATCCTCTGTATCACAATTAGGCATACTTTGTTCAGACTGCATGAGTTTATATACTGTTAATATATTCAAAAATGCATTTTATACTCTAAAGTGTATCAATATGATACACCGTTGTTTCCATTTACTAAATTTCTGCAGCGCATTCATGATTATCCAATTTAAAAGTGAGGAACAAAGAGTAACTTAATGTATTTGTGTTGTACGTGTAATACATTATTTGTGTTGTACGTGTAATACATTATTTGTGTTGTACATGTAATACATTATTTGTGTTGTACGTGTATTACATTATTTGTGTTGTACGATGAATTAGAGGGAAGAAACGTTTGACAGTTGCCTCTGCTTCCAGATTTTTTTTTAATTTTGAATCACGATAATTCGACACGCTACTAAAGGGTAAATCTATATATCATGTACATGCACCGACTGGCTGTGATAATAAACCTCGGCTAGAAACAATTTAACAGGAACACGGAAATGTCGCATCATACACCGGCGTCAACCTAACAGTCATGTTGGCCCTATATATAATTCATGGCCATGGAATGGGGGACTGTAAATCTTTACCCATGTTTTGATTACAATATCTAGTCTAATGTTTTCCTTTCTGATTTTCTAGGCTACAATTCTTTTACCTTGGGAAATGTTTACAATTATTACCTTACATTTTATTTTGAACCATTCCTTTAACTATTGAGTTGAAATTGTATTTCCATTCCCGCATTAAATATAAATGCTGATGTTTATTGTATGAATTGCTAGTGTTTATTACATGTACCAAGGCCACCAGCGTTCACCAGTGTTATATACAAGCCGATACCCAGCCCCAACTCTGTCGAAAAACATCATTAACAACATCAACCACAACAACAGCGACAGCCTTCTACCACAATATGTACCAAAAACAGCAACAGAAACATAGTACCAACAACAGCAACAGAAACAGAAACATAGTACCAACAACAGCAACAGAAACATAGCACCGACAACAGAAACAGAAACATAGTCCCAACAACAGCAACAGAAACATAGTACCAACAACAGAAACAGAAAAATAGTACCAACAACAGCAACAGAAACAGAAACATACACACAACAACAGAAACAGAAACATAGTACTAACAACAGCAACAGAAACATAGTGTAAACAACAGCAACAGAAACATAGTACCAACAACAAATACAGAAACATAGCAACAACAACAGAAACAGAAACATAGTACCAACAACAGCAACAGAAACATAGCAACAACAACAGAAACAGAAACATAGTACCAACAACAAATACAGAAACATAGTACCAACAACAGAAACAGAAACATAGCACCAACAACAGAAACAGAAACATAGCACCAACAACAGAAACAGAAACATAGTACCAACAACAGCAACAGAAACATAGTACCAACAACAGCAACAGAAACATAGTGTAAACAACAGCAACAGAAACATAGTACCAACAACAGCAATAGAAACATAGTACCAACCACAGCAATAGAAACATAGTACCAACACCAGCAACAGAAACATAGTACCAACAACAGCAACAACAACAGAAACAGAAACATAGTACCAACACCAGCAACAGAAACATAGTACCAACAACAGCAACAGAAACATAGTGTAAACAACAGAAACAGAAACATAGTACCAACAACAGAAACAGCAACATAGTACCAACAACAGACACAGAAACATAGTACCAACAACAGAAACAGAAACATAGTACCAACAACAAATACAGAAACATAGTACCAACAACAGCAACAGAAACATAGTACCAACAACAGAAACAGAAACATAGTACCAACAACAGCAACAGAAACATAGTACCAACAACAGAAACAGAAACATAGTACCAACAACAGAAACAGAAACATAGTACCAACAACAGCAACAGAAACATAGTACCAACAACAGAAACAGAAACATAGTACCAACAACAGAAACAGAAACATAGTACCAACAACAGAAACAGAAACATAGTACCAACAACAGAAACAGAAACATAGTACCAACAACAGAAACAGAAACATAGTACCAACAACAGAAACAGAAACATAGTACCAACAACAGAAACAGAAACATAGTACCAACAACAGAAACAGAAACATAGTACCAACAACAGAAACAGAAACATAGTACCAACAACAGAAACAGAAACATAGTACCAACAACAGAAACAGAAACATAGTACCAACAACAGAAACAGAAACATAGTACCAACAACAGAAACAGAAACATAGTACCAACAACAGAAACAGAAACATAGTACCAACAACAGAAACAGAAACATAGTACCAACAACAGAAACAGAAACATAGTACCAACAACAGCAACAGAAACATAGTACCAACAACAGAAACAGAAACATAGTACCAACAACAGAAACAGAAACATAGTACCAACAACAGAAACAGAAACATAGTACCAACAACAGAAACAGAAACATAGTACCAACAACAGAAACAGAAACATAGTACCAACAACAGAAACAGAAACATAGTACCAACAACAGAAACAGAAACATAGTACCAACAACAGAAACAGAAACATAGTACCAACAACAGAAACAGAAACATAGTACCAACAACAGAAACAGAAACATAGTACCAACAACAGAAACAGAAACATAGTACCAACAACAGAAACAGAAACATAGTACCAACAACAGAAACAGAAACATAGTACCAACAACAGAAACAGAAACATAGTACCAACAACAGAAACAGAAACATAGTACCAACAACAGAAACAGAAACATAGTACCAACAACAGAAACAGAAACATAGTACCAACAACAGAAACAGAAACATAGTACCAACAACAGCAACAGAAACATAGTACCAACAACAGAAACAGAAACATAGTACCAACAACAGAAACAGAAACATAGTACCAACAACAGAAACAGAAACATAGTACCAACAACAGAAACAGAAACATAGTACCAACAACAGAAACAGAAACATAGTACCAACAACAGAAACAGAAACATAGTACCAACAACAGAAACAGAAACATAGTACCAACAACAGAAACAGAAACATAGTACCAACAACAGAAACAGAAACATAGTACCAACAACAGAAACAGAAACATAGTACCAACAACAGAAACAGCAACATAGTACCAACAACAGAAACAGAAACATAGTACCAACAACAGCAACAGAAACATAGTACCAACAACAGAAACAGAAACATAGTACCAACAACAGAAACAGAAACATAGTACCAACAACAGAAACAGAAACATAGTACCAACAACAGAAACAGAAACATAGTACCAACAACAGAAACAGAAACATAGTACCAACAACAGAAACAGAAACATAGTACCAACAACAGAAACAGAAACATAGTACCAACAACAGAAACAGAAACATAGTACCAACAACAGAAACAGAAACATAGTACCAACAACAGAAACAGAAACATAGTACCAACAACAGAAACAGAAACATAGTACCAACAACAGAAACAGAAACATAGTACCAACAACAGAAACAGAAACATAGTACCAACAACAGAAACAGAAACATAGTACCAACAACAGAAACAGAAACATAGTA